AAGAGACAGCAGTCAGGGGGCCCCTGGGCGAGCGATGAACTCCAGGTTGATGGGCTTGTCGGCCACCAGGACAATGCGGGACACGGACGTCACCTCCACACCGCGGGGGTCCGGCCGCACTTCGAATGCCTGGATGATCTGTGGGGAGAAGGGGGGTGACAGTGGTTCGGGGACTCCCTGGGGCCTCCATCTCATCTCGTGGTGAGTTACCCGGGGTAGGGGATCTCTACCTACCCTGGCAAGGGCCAGGTGCATCTCCAGCTCGGCGATGCGGCGGCCGACGCAGGCACGGACCCCGTAGCCGAAGGGGATGGAGCTGAAGGGGTGGTGGGGGGAGCCGTGGCCCCGGAGCCAGCGCTGGGGCAGGAACCGCTCAGGCTCAGGGAAGTAGGTCTCATCATGGGACATTGCGTAGTGTGCCAGGACAAAGAGAGTCTGTGGGGCAAGAAGAGGGGGGATTAATGCTCCCCATCCAGCCCCACTGAGTACAGTGGTGGTCTCCACGGCATGGTGCTCACTCACGTTCTTGGGGAAGAGGTAGTCTCCGATGACAATGTCCTTCTCATAGAAGACCCTGGCATTGGTGGGCACCACAGGGTAGACCCTGGATATGGGGAAAGTTAGTGGGGGAGCAGGACCCATCTGGAAATCCCAGAGGGAGAGAGCCACAGACAGGGCAAGGGGGAGCATCTCCTGCTGCTCAGCAGCTCTGTCCCCCTCCCCAGGGAGGAGGTGGATGGATGTGACTCTGAGGGAATGAAATCCAGCCCTGCATCCTGCCTGGCTGGGGCATCCCCCGATGCAGGGTGGGGAAAGAAGGAAGGGGCTGCCCCTGGGGAACAGGTTAATGACCAGGACCTTGGGGCAGGGGCAAGACTAGGCTCTACCTCAGTGTCTCCTTGATAACAGCCCGAAGCATTGGCATCTTGGGTATATCCTCAGCACCAGGAAACCGGTTGGCAGGCACAACGGCTTTCAGCTCCTGGTACAGTGTCTCCTGGATGCCCAGGTCACGGGAGAGGTGGTACAGGGCCCAGGACAGCGTGTTGGAGGTCTGGGGGAGTGGAGTGCCAAGAGGAGTGAGGTGGGGCGGGTACCCAAGCAGTGCCAAGCGTGCCACCAGTGCAGCACCAAACAGCCCCTGCTTCAGTGCGCAGGGAAGCCAAAGGGCATGGGGGAAACTGAGGCAGGAAGCAGGGCAGGGAGCAGAGCAGAGGATAGGTTCTGTACTGACCGATCCCTGAGGGTTTGCCCCTGTGGAGCATCAACCCCCCAACTGCCATCCCAGAGCTTGCAGGGACTGGGGAGAGCAGCTGAGCATGACCCCATTGTTCCCACCCGGCATGGAGTTCAGCAGGGATCTCCTGACGGTGGCTGCCTGGCTCTCACCGTGTCCACACCAGCCAGCAGCAGCTCGGCCACGCTGCCGTAGACCTCGTCCAGGCTGAGCCTGCCGCTGGCCAGCAGGTAGCTCAGGTAGCCAGACACCTCCTTGCCCCGCTCCACCTGCCCCTCCAGCTCCACCATCTTTCGGTCAATGAGAGTCTTGCCTGCAGGGAGAGAGAGCAGGACCCAGTGCTGACAGAGTGGGGGTGGCCAAAAGGACACGTGGCTGGGGACTACCCCACTTTTGAGGGTCCTTAAGGAGTCCAATCCCACCGTGCCAGGCCCCCATCATCACTGCTCACCGAAGGCAAAGATGGTGTCCCAGCTGTCCAGGTAGCGGTCCCAGAAGGGCAGCACCTTGCGGCTCCACCGGGGAAGGACAGTGGCAAAGATGGAGTTCTTGAACATAAGGTTGATGGAGTCAATGAAGTGCTGGGTCTCGGCAGGGACCTGTCGCTTCAGGCATCCGATGCGGGTCTCAAAGAGGATATAGGAGATCCCTGTGGGGGACAGGCAACATCCAGACCCCCGTGGGGATGCGAAGAGTGGGGTAGGGCAGGGGCAAGGGGGAGAACCCCCCTACCTTCCAGGGCGAAGCGGTAGAGCAAGTTGGCCACGTCCCCCACCAGCACCCCTGAGGGGCTTTGGCTCCGCTCGTCCCGCAGCCGCACCATCAGGTCCGACACCACCTCCCCGATGGCGTCCGCGTACAGCACCGCCTCCGAGGGCTTCAGCAGCCGCTTGTTGAGGACCTGGCGCAAGCGGTACCAGCGCTCCCCTTCCCTGTGCAGGAATGAGGCTCAGCGCTGGGGGCACAGCCAGGCAGGGGGCAGTGGCTGTCAGCAGTTTCCCAATCCCTGGGTGCATCCTCACCAGGCTGGGCTGAAACCACCCCATGGGGCTTTCCACCCCCCATGGCCATACCCTTCTGCTTGGGGGGAGACTGCTGTTTGCAGGAGAGGGAGCACTGTGAGCTGTGACCTGAGCCCTACACCAGAGGAAGGGACAGGAGCCGCCTGCCACCCCACAGAGCATAGTCAGGGCAGGACTCACTCAGTGAAGGGTCCGTAGGGCAGGTGCCTGGTGTCCCGGTGCTCCTTCCACAGGGCCATGTCACTCCGCATGGGGTATTTGCCCTCCTGCCGTAGCAGCTGCTCCAGCACCACCGGGCTCCCAATGTTGATGTTCTCATAATGCCCAAAGGTTGACTTCCAGATGGGGCCGTAAATGCGCCGGGACATCAGCTGCGATGCACCAGAGCATGACAGGGTGAATGAGACAGGGCCAGTGCTAGGGCTGGATCAGCCCCTCCCTGCCCTGGTGCTGCCCTGTGTCCAGCATGCTCTGCACCCATCTCAGGGACCCCTCAGCACTAGCTGGGCCCAAGCACCTCCATTTGACCCCCCAGGCTGGCACCATCCTTGAGGTGCTCTGCAGATGGCTTGGGGTGGTGTCTCCAGGCACATGTCCTCTGGCAGCACTAAGCACACCAGGCACTGACCCCTGGCACAGACTGGCACATCACCCACCCACCCCAGAGATGCGTGTAGGGCCTGGTGGGCCTTTTGAGGACAGCAGGGACAGGGGCAACTGACAAGCACAGAGCTCTGACGAGCTGCAGGGCTATTGCAGCAGCAGTCAGCAGGTCCAAGCCTTGATGCTTCCAGCATGGCTCCAGCTCTGCTCAACCTGGGGACAACAGTCCCTGTGTGGGTCCTTGAACCCACCACCTGATAAGGGTTGTTAATGATCAGTGGTGGGAGGGCAGCGCCATGCTGGGACAGGACTGGGCTGCTCCCAGGACAGGCTGCCACCCCCAGGGCATGGCCCTGGAATTACTGGCTCACAAGCCAGCTAGGGGACATCCACCAGCATCAGCCCTGCTCTGGGTCCACTGGCCGCAGCTCCCATCTCCTTGGCTGCAGCTAAAGGTGTCACCCCTGACTCTCTGCCAGTGAGCACCCTGACCCCTGAGTACATCCCTCAGGGGCAGCCAGGCAACCCTTTGCAGGTGGATCTGTACAGGGCCATGTCCGAGGGGTGCTTTCCATCCCACCCAGGCAGGCCAGAGCCCCTGTAGAGCAGAGCCAAGCCTGGGGGGCTGTGGGGGACCCAGCAGGGAAGCCCTGGTACCCGTCCCCGTGGCTGCTGGGATGCACGTGGTACAATCTCCCTTGGTGACTGACTGCATCGCAGCCTGCGCCCGGATTCAGCTGGATTCGTCACCGCGGGGAGACGTTCCTCGTGCGTGGTGGCGGGAGGAGGGGGAGGGACGGCCACACCGGTGCCGCAGGCGGCTTGCCGGGTGAACACGCTGTGTGGGGCCATGGGCAGCCAGGTGGAAGCCTGTCCACTGGCATCTGCTGGCAGCCAGGACCTGACATGGCCCAGGCCTCAGAGACCAGGGCTGAGAGAAGCCGGAGCTGCTGGGATTTGGGGAAAGGTACCTCCGGAGCATGTGGGCATCTGTCCGCAAATCGGGCTGCACTCAAAGCCCCAAGGGCAGGAGGGAGCTGCAGGGAGCCCCCGTGCCCGCTCCTGGAGACCCTGCCGCCCTGCGACAGCCCTTCTCCAAACAGCAGCACCTGGTGTTCTGTGGTGCCGGGGAAGCCTGATCCCACATGCTCCTCTGGCTGGTCAGAGCTCCAGAGAACTGGAAGATGCCGCCTGGCTCACGGCCAGCCAGGCCCATCGCTTTCTTCATCCGACGTATGAGGAAGTGTTGATAGAAGAAAACAAACACCTCTGCCTATCCCTCCCCTGCCTGCCTGGATACCACCTGCCCAAACACCTGCTGGGCCGCCTGCCCCCCAAACCGTGGGCCCTGCAGCGTGTCACAGCTGGGGCAGAATGGGCTGCCTGGGGATGCCGGGACCCCGTGACGACCCCTGACCCTTTGCCCTCGGCTGCCTGGACGGCTCAGGGATGTCAGAGCAGCCCCGGGCTGGCAGGACTGT